TCATTTTGACTTGAATTACTGCTTTAATTCTTACAGGAAGTATTTTATCTCGTTGATGTTCGTTCGATATTTTATTCCATTATTCAATCAGCTAGATTTTCATTAGAAAATCAACCTACAATTGTTAAAAGTCATCAATGTCAAAAAACCCGTAATCATGTAATAAAGCTAGCTTTTTATTCATTTGAGATGTGCGTATGAATCTCTTCTCCTTTTACCCAATCATTCGCACCAACACCAGATTATCTGTTTGCCTACGTTATCTAGACTGCTTTGACTCAACAAAGACAATTCATTTATGACCATATGTAAACTGATTACGTAGTACAGGAGAGTTTCATGCGCACAGATGTGCTGTTTATCATTTGTGCAACGAGTGAAAATGGAAAAGATGTGAGTATGGGTGCAGAGAAGACTCACACTCACATCTGGGTAAACGGTGACACGTGGACGGTCTAGTGTGCCATCTATGAGGTCATCGATGTTCTCGAAAGTCTTCTGAGTCTCACGGACGAGTCTCATTTTTCACTAAATTAAATACAGTGCTTTATTTCATCAATGATCAAATGAGATTCGATTGTCTTGCTTTTTCAACTGTTCTTCAACAACCACTGAAATGCCAGGACAAGACGCCAAGCACAACTCGTTCAGTGTCTACACGACAGAAAAAGAAAACAACTCGTTAGCCTCCTCAGCTAGAAACAGCACAATCCTCACAGTGTTGTCTCTGAGAGCACTGGCGAGATGTTGTGCCCCAGTGGGCCCGATTTGATTGTATCGAAGGTTGAGTATGATGAGTGTCTGTGTGAAAAATACACATAGTCAAAAAACAGATGAGCAGAGAATAAAGCTCACCGTGTGGTCTTTGAGAGCATCGGCAAGATGTTGTGCTCCCTGAACTCCGACTTCATTACATTGAAGGTGGAGTGTGATGAGTGTCTGTGTAGGAATTACATATAGTCAAGAGAAAGATGAGTAGAGAATGATATTTACGATGTTGTTTCTCAGAGCATTGGCAAGATGTTGTGCCCCTTGATCTCCGATTTTCTTATAATGAAGCTGGAGTGTGGTGAGTGTCTGTGTGAAAATTGCATAGAATCAAGCGAAAGATGAGTAGAGAATGTGATTCACGATGTTGTTTCTGAGAGCATTAGCAAAATGTTGTGCCCCTTGATCTCTGTTTTGATTCATTGCAAGGCCGAGTGAAGTGAGTATCTATATGAAAAGTGCAGATGGTCAAAAGAGAGATGAATAGAGAAGGTATTCACGGTGTTGTTACTGAGAGCACTGGCGAGATGTTGTTCCCCAGTTGACCTGATTTCATTACATTGAAGGTTGAGTATGGTGAGTGGCTGTGTGAAAAGTGCAGATGGGCAAAAGAGAGACGACTGGGGAAAGGAATTCACCGTGTTGTTTTTGAGAGCATTGGTGAGATTTTGTGCTCATTGATCTCCGATTTGATTGACGTGAAGATCGGGTGTCTTGAGTGTCTGTGTGAAAATTGCAGATGGTCAAAAGAGAGACGACTAGGGAAATGAATTCACCGTGTTATTGCTGAGAGCATCAGCGATATGTCGTGCTCCGATGGGTCCGATTTTCTTACACCGAAGACTAAGTCTAGTGAGCGTCTGTATACAGGTCTAGAGAAATATAGTGGTAGAACAACGTGTAGATATTATGGAATACAGATATCAATATGCATACCTCATATTCAATTGCGTTAATGTCTATATGCAGAGGTCGTCGAGTAAAATTTGGAACACTATCTCCTGATGACACTTTCCATCTAGTCAAATTATGGACATTCGTTATCGTTATTGAAGTCGTATAGATCCAGATTGAGTTTTCTTCTGGGACATAAGCACAACTGACAAGGCAGTGTTTGTTCTCTATCCAAAATGGTTTTTGAAAGGGATGAACTAATGCGTATATAGAGGGTATTTTATTGTTTTCAGCAGAGACGCTGAAGAAGAACTAGAATTTTGCCAATGAAGGCAGTCTAGTTGTAATCAAGTGTTCCCAATAGTGGCCGTCGAATATTGAGGTAAAGTATTGCTTCTGTGAATTTGCTAATTTCAAATGAAAGAGAGATGACGTCACTGAAATGATCAATTCAATTTGATCTATGAAGAGAATGCACCCTGTTATTGTTAATGATTTCAATTGTGCATTGATTTTCATGTGATATCTTGAACGTATTTGATCACTTTCATAGTCAATAGTACAGTCCTGCAGTTGAAATATTCGTAAACATGGTAAATTATTTAGTATAGTAATATAATCGCTATATTTACAAGTACCGATGTCCAAATGTTTCAATCTATAACCAAATGGCCATATTATGCTTAGCCTTTTAATCGCAGTTGTCGAAAATGGTGATTATCAATCATCGATGATATAAGAGACAATATTTCACTAGAATTCTTACCTTGAAGATCGATAGAAAATGACATAAGTGAATGAAATATCATTTGTTTTAAGATGTATTCCAACTCCCGGTCACTTATAGGATAGACAATTACTGAGCGAAGGCTACTAAATTGGCAAAAGTCCAAAAGTGACTTCAATAAGTTGTGTCGACGTATAGGTATGATCCTCAGCGTCGTGACTCTCTCCGGATGAGCAAACCGATGAATGTCCTGAAACCCTGACCCTGATTTTGAATAGAAGTCAAGTGCAAATCGATCGTAAGAATTGACAAAGCCAAATAGGCGTTTACTCGCTGGACGAATTGAGTAAAGTAAGGTTTGAATGTCGCAATGATCAAAAATACCGTGAATCAATTCTTGAGGCAGTCGAAGTAGATTTGCTTCCGTCATGGTTATAGGTGAAGTGAATGTAATTGAGTGTGGTAGATATTTGTTGCGAACGTAGGTACTGTTCTCCACAAAAGTGTAATACACATATATGTACCGTTGGTCTTTGCTCTTCTATAATATTGCTAGTGGTACATAGTTGTGCTGACGCATAAAATAGACTATTATTATATAAGTCAATGAAAGAAAATTGCTTCGATGAGTTTGGATCATTCGTACGAACATATCTACACCTACACTCTTAGCCTAAATTATCATTCGAGAGTGCCTCAGTTGTAGATTTAATATCTCAACAAACGAACGGTTTTAGAAGCTAAACTTTTTGGTAATTTTACATCTCACTTGGAACTGTGCACCAACAAAAATTTTGTTGAAAATGTGATGTCAGTTGAGCGCATGGTGCATATTTTACTTGGTTCGTTCATGCAATTACTAATATGTTTTTAAATAGGCGTGTTCTTACAATACACATAAATTTGGTTCGATAGCAATTTAACGAATGTTGTGATGGTACATTTTTTAGTCACTATTTCCTACTTCTAGTATGAATTCTTAAGTATATTTATTGTACTTCTCTATATTATAAAAACAATTTCATTACAAGTACGAACACAAATACAAAAGATTAGGCGTAATAATGCAAAATATTACTTGTTTGCGATAAAAAAAATCGGAATCAAAACCTATAGAAAAACTTAACGAGAACTGGGATCGGAAGTCGAAAAAATTTTCTATTAAGACGGAAACTCGGTGGTCTCGCAGTTCCCTAATTTCAGTCAAACAGTCATGGGTAACTCCTTTCGCTCTCTATTCGATGTAATAATGAAAAAATGATTTTGTTCGTCGTTTTCTCTGGTTGTAATTTTTTTAACGACAGAAAGAAAGAGAACAATGATTCCTTCAAACCGTCACAAATGACTGCTTTTCGGCTATGTTACATGCAGAAAAATTTTCTTTTCCGCTGCGTTCTATGCTTGGAATTTCCCACAGGCAGAAAGAAAGAGAAGAATCTTTCAATCAAATCATCATAAGTGATTGCTGTCGCTATCTGTTCTGTTTTGTGAAGGAAAATGATTTTTTTTTCGTTCGGTCGCCTGCTTGTAATTTTTCATAAATAGAAGGAAAAAGAATAATATTTTGATCAAAGTTCCTTGACTGCATCGTTTGGTTGGAGTCTTTCACAGATCGAAAGAAGGAAAAAAAATCTTTCGGTGTCCATTATAGATAGAAAAAGAATAATTATCCTCGCTCTTCTAGCTGCTTCTAATTTTTGATTGACATAAGAAAAATGAAGAGTGTTTCAATGAAATCGTCGCATGTAACTGCAAATAGTGCCTAAAATATGCAGAAAAAAAACTTTTCTCAGGTGCTGCCTGCTTGTAACATTTCTTGATAGAAGAAAAGTGAAGAGTCTCACAGTCGAACCGTCAAAGATAATTACTTTTAGTATCTGTTATGTGCAGAAAAAAACAACTCTTTTTGCCGAGTTGCGCACTTGTAATTTTCCATAGACAGTAAGAAAAGGAAGACGCTATCGATGCAACTGGGGGTGCAACATTGACGGTGGTTTACCGGTATCTCCTTAGTATTGATAATACAATATCATCAGTGCACCGTTCATCGATCAGGACTTACTACAAGAGTTGTTACTAGGGATGCATCAATTTCAAGTATGACCTAATCGGAATAGAAGTTTGTTACAGCCGAGAAGTCATCGTCACATAACGCATCATTTTAGCAGTTACTGGCTACCGAAAAATTTCTGAGTTTGATACTTTCACGACGGCATGACTTCAAGTATGTGTTTTTCGTTGAAAAGATCGAAGAGAATCGTCAAATAATCGTTTGAATCACTAATCGAAAATAATATTCGAATCTTATTGTGTCTTTTCTGCACAAAGCTCGTTCCAAATTGTGATCGAAACAATAATGTCGTTTTTGTTCATTATACTCTAGTATGAACAATAGTCTAGCAGAATGATTCATTTATATCACTTGATTCACATCAAAGAACAATTTTAACATCATTTAATAGATGATGTATCTCAATGTTTGGAAAACTTTTATTTGGAATTTAAAGAGATACAAGTTTCAAAAAGAAAAATCTCGTGAGCAGTGAGGACTTCATAGATGATTGTCAAAATGTTCAATTTAAACAATTGGGAGAACAATATCTATTCTAGTCTATCGATCAGTAAGTGTTGGTGCTGTGAGTAATATGTTCATTGGAGCTATTTGACGGTGTCCCATATTGAATCGATATTTCAAATATATTTGAATCGTTTGTCGAAAACGCGATGATGAAATAAGGAATATGTAAAAAGATGAAGCGAAATTCATAGAAGTGATAGAAGCAGTCAATTGATCTACGAGAAGTAAAATAGACATTTGCTCGAAACTTCTCGTTGTACTCTCATCAATTGTGGCAATTGAATAAACGACATAAATAGCTCGAGGAAGTGTGAAAAATATACTTAGAAGAGTTTGAATTAACATCATTCTTGTCATTTGGTGTTCCCATGTTGACATTCGAGTTTGATTTGGTTGTTGACGAATATGAGTTACAAGACGAATATTACGATATGTCAATAATCCAAACAATATTAGAATAAGTAGAGGAAGAAAAACAATAAGAATTGGAGATAAAAAAAGAACTCCTATTCGCATAAAGAGATCGTTTGTGAACCAACAAATGTATATTGGTGGTACAATATCACAATAAATAAGAAAAGGAATATTCACAAATGACCAAAGAATAAATGGAATTGGAAAGAGACAGCAAGCTACACGAATCGAACTTAATTGACGTATGCGAGCCAATTGAGATGTAGATGCCCAACGATCAAATGCAGACAAACAAAGAAAACTCATTGCAACAGTTGTCATCATTTGCATAAAAAATACCATTAACTTACAAGCAATAGATGAAACCGATATTGATGTGTATGGAATAATTTGAAGAAGTACGATCAACAAAACATTCACATCGGCTAATGATTGTCCCACAACATAAAATACCAATGGAGATTGACGAAATGTTTTTATGCCCATGAATATTATTGCATTGAGAAACGCTCCTGGAGCTCCAATTGAAAATAAAATAATCGGACTCCAAAATTTGATCTGAAGAGCTGCTTCAAAGACTGACATCTTTGTCTTTATAAAAATCAAATAAGCATGTGCACAATTCTTCTTCAATCATAATAGAATTACTCAAATGCAATCTCTCTCTTTTTCTCTATGCTTCGTGTGATGTCTTCAGATAAAATCCAATTTGTATGCTCGCTAGGAGCACTTAGATTTGTCAACAACAGATTGATCATCAAGATCAAAACTCGCATCAAATTCTTTCAGATAGAAAGAGTATCATTATCGTTTTAGCAGGTCTATTAGATACATCTGGAACTGTTTTGGGAAGAAGATCAACTAAAGCTTGAGACGATTCCTTTTTTTATTTTTATATTTATTTACGAATATAAAATAATTTTTCATGGAAATAGTGATTATTGTCAAATATTAGTGTTCAACAAACAAAAAGTAGAAATACACTGTTGTTCGATGTAATCCAACTTTAGATGATGATCGCTTGTCCAACACATGTAATGAAGTAGACACATCAAGATTTGCTAGAAATTATAAATCTATTATCTAAATAGAATAAGACTCTCTAGGAGTTGTCATAACAGATGAAAATCATCTTGAAATGACAGTCCAAGATATACAGAAGAAACATCCAGACAAGAAAAAATTCAATTTGAGAATACGTCGTCCGTCTTCTATCCACCCAAGCGATTCAATTCGCTTCCAAGGTCATTTGTCTGAATCAATTTTGATCATTTACGTCAGATGATTTGTTCCGTTAAGTCTAGAATTCTCTCACAAGTTTTTAAAGCGAATTATTAAAATAATTATAATCAGCAATAGCGATTTAAAAAAAATTAAACAACGCATCACTCATTCGATTAAGTTTCTTAACAGAGCAAAATCAATGACTGAGAAAATCCAAATGAGTTTTTGGTGCTATAATATCTTTGTGTCTACTTTTTTTCTAACATAGAAGGAACACTACAGACACTTCCCAATTATGGATGTGGGTATGGTTTAGATAAAGAAAAGGTGCACACCACCATCTACGTTCATACAAATCAATGCAGTTTTGCTCTATTTCAAAGAATTTGAGAATTATCCGTCATAGATGCTGTAAAGACATTAAACATTCATCGAAAACTAAGCTACACGATTATGTTGCTACGTTACGACACTTTCTCATCAAGAATCCTGGAAATCACATTATATTTTCATAAAGAAGAGTCGTGCAGATAAGAACAGCATGCTAATCAACTGTAGATTTTTTTTCTAGAAATCTCTCAGTGAACATTGGTTAATTTGATATTACTATTTCATTTGATATTAGAAAAAAGCCAAATAACGATCAGTCGATGTTGGAAAAGTTTTTGCATATAAAATCTTTTTAACTGAAAACTCAATAGAATATATGTAATTTTCGAACAATGGTAATTGTCATCATTGATATCAAATATCTAAGAGAATAGATTCATTTACTATTCGGTAACAAATGAAAAAAATTTCATATTATTCGTTTCAATATTTAAAAGATACATTTCGTTATTGAGTATAACTATGTAGAACACTCATTATTATTTCGTTTGTTAGTATTAGAGTTGTCTCTAGCATAAACCAGGATCTTGTAGAAACCAAACATCTTTTATATGAACTTTTCAAAGTCAAGTTAAGTTACATTAAGTTGTTGAATACTTGTCAAATATAATCCTCGAAATGATAAACACTTTTTCTTATGACTGAGAGTAATATGTTAACCTATTGAAAAGATTTATATTAAGTCATTGAAAGAGATCAAAAACTGTTTCGTATTCTATCATATGTTAAAAAAACAATTCAAAAGAAAAATTTTTATTTAATATCACAAAGTAAAGCAACACCACGTAAAATCCAATGTTCAGATAAATCATTTGATGCTAATTTAAGCATAGTTATAAAATGAAGATCAGTACGTATTGGTTTTTTATAGACTGGACACATATAAATATATGGTGCAATTGAAATTTGTTCATTTTGTTTTGTTCGAAATGTTATTTGATTTAATCTTAATTTTTTATTTGTAATTATTCCAGTTTTTTGATTTGTTACAGATGGATTTATAGCAAATATATGAATAACTGGCATTTGAACATAAACAACTTTATTTTGTGATTCATGTAAACGAGTATTTTTTCGATCCCAACCAGCACCTTCCAAATAAAGACCATAAACATAAACACCCTAAAAAAGAAGATAAAATAATGAGGCATTTTGAATAATGATTTTTGTTTTTCTTAAATTGTTTACTTCAGTTGGTGCTTCTCGAATGTCATCTTTATATGAACGAAGTACAATATTATCAATTATTACAGTATCAAGTGACCATCCTTTATGCATTCGCGTTACTTCTTGTCGCATAGCTGTAAGAAAACCTATCAAATAAAGGAAAAGAATTAAATATCAATCTGAATCTAGAATCGAAGAGTAGTCTAAATAAAACTATTTTTTTTTAAATTACAAATAGTGTTCATATTTGCGGTTTTCTTCTATAGAAAGTTTATATAGTTTTATAAAAAAAATTATTTATTACCGTTGGGATTAAAGAAACCCGTCATCCAAAAGCATTTAGGTCGACCTATCATCAAAACAAAAATAAGAATAAAAAAATAATGTTTTTTTTTACGAACCATAATTCAACCAATTATTATATTGAGTATATCGATCAAGTAGTTCAGAAAACCAAAAACCAAGAGTACTGCTTTCCCATGAATATCTTGTCTAAGAAAAAAAAAACAGATAATGAATAAAAATCAATTTAGAATTTCAATAATAAATTAAATTAACCCAATCAATTGGAACACGGCCATCATAGATTGAATCAAGTATTTGACGTAGAGACTATAATCAATTTCTTTTTTCAATTATTTCTCGTCAGAAATTTTCATCTTACATCATTCAATATAATTATACCATCAATAGCTAATTGTAAATCATTTAAAGAATTTCGTACAGTACGTATAACACGATCAATTCGATGAATTTCTTGACGTAAAAATATAATCATTGGATTCAATATGCCCATATTACGTAATTTCTCTCGTACCTATACAAACAAAAAAATTGATAAATTTAAAAAATTTTTCTTCTATAAATATACTTCATGTTGTATAAAATTTTTTGGTAATTTATTTAACATATCATTTGCAAGATTATAAACAATTTTATCTCGTGTTTCACCACCAGATATATTTGAACTTGCTTCTTTTGGTTGTATATGAACAATTTTTTCAAGCATAGATTTAGCTCGATTTGTTGAATATGTTATATCAGCATTTGAATGAAGACCAAATATTTGTGGTGGATCAATTAATGGAAATTTATCAATATAATCAATATATTCATCAAGACGTTTTACTTTTGGTATTGAATAACCATCATAAAATTTAAAATCTAATGAAAATAATAAATCATTAAACCATTTCTATGATTACAAAAATTTATAAACATTTCAAATAGATTAATAATAATAAAAAAAAAAGACAAGTCAAATACTTTAGCATAAGTAATCATTAAACGACGATCACGATCATCTGTTATTCTACCACCATATTGAATTTCTGATATCATATAACGAATAGCTTTCCATGATATATTCTATAATAATAAGAAGTTTTTAGAAAAAAAAAAAAAGTATTTGAAAAAATTTTTCATACTAAGTTTGGATTCATATCATCTAAATGATTTTGAATATATTGTACAGATGCTTCCCAATCAGTCTGATTAAATTCTGTATATTAAATATATTTAAAAATAAAATTGAATATAAAACTAACAAGGGAATCGCCCGAAGTGATTCACCGCTTTTGAGCCTCATATTTTGGACATATAGAGGGGATCTCTAGACTAGAATAATCCTTAAAGGATTCGAGCCCATAGGTCCCCACTACAGAGTTATAGCCATTTTACTTTGATTTTAGGCTATGGCATGGTATGCACACACAAAGAGACTCATGATATTTCGACCTGGAATTTTGTACGCGGATAGATCTACTTGTAATTAGAATGTCCTGAACGGATCTCATAAAAGATGCAAGAATCTCATGTTTTCTTGACATTCAACATCTCGTGAAAGAAACATTCTTTTGAGCTGAAATTTTCAGGACATTCTAGTTACGAGTAGACCTATCTGTGGACAAAATTTCAGATCGAAATATCATCGATCTCTTTTTTTGTGCATACTGTGTCCTAGGCTAAAATTAAATTAATATAGCTATAACTCTGTAGTGGAGGCTTATGAGCCCGAAACCTTTTAGGATTATTCTAGTCTAGAGGTTCCCTCTATATGACCAAAATATATGCTCAAAAGTGGTGAATCACTTCAAGCGGTTCCCTAGTAAGAATTATTTACCATATGGAATATTCCATCCTAATGGTCCAAATTTTCGACGTTCCTAAAAAAATAAAAATTTTATCATTTTTTTTCTTCTTTTGGATAGTATATACTTGTATGATACTATGAAGAAATGAAGTAGCATATAATAATGGACGCCAATAAATTGTTTCAATATATTCAAGTTTATCTTGATTAATTAAACCATAAGTACGTTTGAGACCAGCTCGTACACCTTGTGGTGGTTCATTAGTAAATTTAATTGATGATTGAAGAATTTGTATTGGAAATTGTGAATGAGTTTCAGTTGTTAACCAACTTCAAAAAAAAAATACAAACATTTTTCTTACTTTTATTAAGATTCTTATAATAATACATACACACGAAATGATGGATCGAATGTATCTATTGCAATAAGAGCTTAAATAAAGATCATTAATATTATATATGAAAAATACAAATTAAAAATTTACTTTCATGAAATTCTTCAAGATAATCTAAACCTAAATGTGCATTTTGTAATAAAAGCCATCCTCCTAATGTAATTGTTTGTTGAAGATAACGTCGAGCAAGTATTTCTTGTCCTTGTCCCATAGATACAATAAATAAATCAATATTTTTCTTTTTTGCTAATGATTGTATATTTGATGTTGGATCAGCACCTGATGATAATAAACCAAGTAATGATGTTTTATAATCACTTTCTTCCCATATTAATTCTAAACTAAGTACAGGAATTTCAGAATATTTTATTCCAAGACTATCTTGAATATAATATCGTGCTTCTGATATTGTTCGATCTGGTGATATACAACGAGCAAATAAAAATCGATGAAAAATATTTAAATTTTCATATGTTTCAGGTAATGATGATAAATCAGATGATTCTTTATCAAACCAATCTTTAAATGCACGTTCATTCTTTTGTAACTATAAAAAAATCTATCAATAGAAATTATTCGATTATTTATCTATTTATATACTCGATCAATAACATCATGAAATTCTTTCAAACGACTTAATTCAAGTAAATTAAGCCAAGATGAATCATTTAACCAACGAAATAATTTTGGTGGACATGTATTTAAATCTAATGAAGCACCACCTTTAATTAATACTTCAAATTCATCATAACGTATTTTTCCTCGACGTAAATCAATTCTTAATGCCATTAATAATGTAAACATAAGTCGATCTTCTTCATATAAACCACGTGTTGTATAAAACCATGTTCGATATGTTAAATAATCATTTATATTTTGAATACGTTTTTGTGTTGCAGCAATTTTATTTGATCTTTAATAATAAATTATTTAAAAGTTTGAACAAAAAAAAAAAAAAAGATAAATCAAATACTTTATCATTGAATCATGAAAAAGACCAAGAAATTGTTGTAATGATATTTGATACATATGATTAACAAGCTTAAAATAGAAAAAAAATTATCAATTTCATTAATAAAAAAAAATGTAGGAAAGATCTGTTCGACATTCTTTCTTAGACAAATGTACCTAGACGATTTAGGATTTAATTTTCTACACACTTCTATGAACCTTTATTTACAATAACAGAGTAAAAACTTTTTATAAATTGCATTTTGTGATTGAGTAACAGTGATTTATCTACTGGGTGGGCGCCGCACATTCGAAAATATACAGCAGCCATTCGTCTACTGGGTGGGCCGAGTGGGCGCCGCCCATCCGAAATTTTGATTGGCCCACTCGAAAATATACAGCAGCCATTCATCTACTGGATGGGCCGAGTGGGCGCCGCCCACCCGAAATTTTGATTGGCCCACTCGAAAATATACAGCAGCCATTCATCTACTGGGTGGGCCGAGTGGGCGCCGCCCACCCGAAATTTTGATTGGCCCACTCGAAAATATACAGCAGCCATTAGTCTACTGGGTGGGCGCCGCCCACCCGAAATTTTGATTCGCCCACTCAGGAAACGAAACCTAGATAAAACACTGCTGAGTAAATGATGTTAGACACAGATTGTAACTCATAGAAAGTTTTTTCTGTGTTCATTTAAATAAAACAAGTTTGTAGAGAATCAAATATTGTAAGAACTTTCGATTACGTCCGATATAAAGATTTGAATACATACTGTAATTTCTGACATAAGAAAATAAATGATCGATCCTCGAACAGCAACAGGTCGATATTCTTCTCTTGCTGCACTAATTTTCATTTTTGTATCTTCAGCAATAGAAACTTTTTCTTTAACTTCTATAGCAATTCTTTTATTTGCATTAAGTACTTCAACAAGAGATGGATCATCAAGTACTGAACCCTAATAATAAAATTCAAATTAATATTATTTTCGAATATTTTAAAACAATTAATTCTTTTTTTGTTTTACTTCAATGCTTGTTAATTTAATTAATAAATTTTCTTCAAGTTCTTTTAACATTCGTTTATTTTTTGTTGTTTCACGTGCTAATGTAACACGTTCACGTTCAAGTTCCTAATATATTTCAAAAATTTATCTTTTTACTATTTTCTTTGTTTATTATTATTAAATAATACATACAGCACGTTCATTAGCAATAACAAGACTAAGTAATTGATCTTCTAATCCACGTTGTGTTACAGTAAAATCAATAATTGATACTCGTGCACATACTTCAGGAGAATAAGTTGGATTAGCTAATTTTGTTGTTATATATAAACGAAATGTATGATTAACATCCTAAAATATTTCCTATGATTTTAGTTTTTTTTTTTGTTTTTTTATTAAAACAGACCACTTCACGATCACCAACTTTAACCTAAAGATTTATTTATAGATGGTTTATTTGTATGATAAAACAATTGAAAACAAAAAGAAAAAGAACATACTCGTAGAGAAAGACCTATTTTAAAATAGTTTTTTTCTAAAATATGATCTAAAATTGGATCTAATTCTTCATCAACATCTTCAATCAATAATGGACGTCCAAGTGAAATTGAATCTTCAAGTTGTTGTCGAAACATTTTTGAATTAAATGTTGTTATTAATATATCATTATCACGTTCCATATTTTTTATCCATGATTTTCCTTGTAATTGTCTAATAAAGTTATTATTAAAAAAAATCAATGAAATATATAAAAGTGACTACAATTACACGAACAACAATATTTTCTTTAATGATTTTTTTTCTATACTATATCTTAAAAATACAAATTGTGTTTTGAATAGACAATGGAATTCTCTATTAAATGTATTCTATACTAAAACAAAATTTTTAGAGAATTGAAAATCATCATTCAGTCGAACGAGTACTAATACATGTCTAAATATATATTGAAAGAGAACTTTCTTGTCTACTTAAACACTACTATTTGAAATTTTTTCAGAAAAAAAGAATATTGATGTTCTTATAACTCCGATTACTAGAGTATTTCATAGAAAATATATTACGGATCAATTAGAAGTGGATAGCGATAGTTTGATGTTGCTATAATACCATTTTGAATTGATAGATCATCATTTGGTAAACCTTGTAAATTCCATTCACCGATCTATATAGATAAATATATAAATTATCATTTAAAAAAAAAAAAGAAAGAAATCTTACTGTTGCTTCATCATTTAATTGTTCAATAATATCAAAATTATCCGAAAATGGAATAGTTCTTTGTTGTATTTGTTTTTGCCATTCATTTAATAAACGTTGCCGAAAATCTTGATTAAATGGACCAGAATATGATAGAAAAGCTGTTACAAGTATAGTATTTCCAACTAATCTAAAATATTGAATAAATTTATATACTCATATGAAAAAAAACAAAAAAATTTATGTATGAAATTACTTTTCAATACTTTGTTCAAATGCTTTATTTTGTTCATTCCATCGAATTTTTTCACCTGTTAATCCTGATATTAATGTATTTGCATCATCACGTCGTTTAAGTAAAGCATCATAATCTGATTGATATGTCTAAAAAAAAAATTCAAATTAGAATTAATATTATTAATTTAAAAATAGAATAGAAATACTTGTTTTGTTTTCATAGCTACATCAAAATCATGTTGACATTTAGCTAAACCAATTTCAGTTCTTTCAAGTTCTCGTTCAGCTCTAGCTAATTTTCTTGAAGCTTTTCGAAGTGAATTTTCTGCTTTTTGTACTTTATCCTATATAAATATTGATTAAAATCAAAAATCATTTTATTATTATATCTACTTTTATTGGAATAACTTCTTTATTAATTGCATGATAAGATTGTATCTTATCTATAAATTTAGAATTTAAGAAAAAATTTAGTATAGAAAAAAAAAGAAAAGGAAAATTAATTCACCTGTCCATGTTTTTAATGTTGCTAAATCTTGATAAGCTTTTCGAGCTTTTTCAGATAGATCTTTAATCTCTGTATATGGTGCTAATAATTCAATGATTTCATCATTAAGTTCACGTATTGTTAATAATGTTGATAATAATCCAGAAAAATTAAGAAGTCTTAAAATTTCTGTTTTTGATGGTGCATAAAATGGTTCATCAAGATTATAATCAATTCGTATTGGATCAATACGTCGTTTCATTAATATTAATGCCATATCAAGTACAATCATGATAGCTTCGGGAGGTTTTGCTAATTTACGAAGATTAGTTATTGTATTTCCTTTGATTTGCTATTTGAATATTAAAAAAAAATAATGAAAATTGATTCTTTAATGGTTAATTGATGGAATATCTATTTAGCTTTAGGTTGAATAAATCTTTTTATCTGATTTTTCATAATCGAAAAGATTTTATAATTATATAGTTAAAAGAGTTTTTGGCAAGCAACTTCGAATTCACTCATAATATCTTCCGAGTTTAAAAGAAAATGTCGATTGTTATGTTAAAGCAATATTAAGTCTTGGTGAAGAAGAATCAGCATTGAACTATTTATAACTTGGTGTACTGAAAAAAGACGATGTGAGTTCCGGCAAGTTCAGTGATAAATTAACGTATTTTCAGTGCAAATATGAGAGAGTTTCGAAAGAGAAAAGACAGTTAAGCGGTAATTTTACTTATGACATTTTATTCTTAGGAAACTTGTGACATATGTGATAATTTTGTATTTGATTATCGTCGAAAATCAATATAATATAATTGGAGTCTTATATGTTTTTTGCGTTTTCTCTGTCTCTGCTTTTTTGATCGTGCAATCCAATATTCCACTCTAATAAAACGCGTCGTAGTCTGTCCGTAATTCAAGATCTGACTGCCTTGAACTTCAAGAATAAGTATCACGTTTTTGAATGAAGCCGAAAAAATATTTAATTTTTCTCTCGTGCAAAAAAAAGGAACAAATGCGCTGAAGACAGAATTCGAATCACATTTTCGATATATGTCGCATTTTAACATAACAGGCATCGCAGTTGTTTTTTTTTTATTAAGCTTTGTTACTGTTGTATAAAAGAGAGCTTTTATAACCAGAAAGCCACTTTTTGGAGCGTTCTGAGAGACAATAAACTTTAATAAAAAAAAAAAAAGAAATTAAGTTTATAGAATCAAGGACTACAGAGAATTTTTGATTGCCACATGAACTATTATTGAACCTTGTTTGTTGAATAATTCTAGAAGACATCGTGATATAGAATTGAAATTATTAACATAGGCTCTTCGTCATAGCACTAATATATTTTGAGAATTTAATGCAATGTGCATGCATCTGATTCAAGATCTATTTTGAAGACGAAGGACGTTGACCTGAAATAGTTATTTACTCAAGTCGAATTTGTGTATCATGTTCATGAAATTCTTGAGTATCTTGAACAAGCAAATCATGTGATATAAACACATTTTGTGACAATATGTGAGATCGTCACCCGAAATACCTTATGGAAGATTCCATGAAAGATATTCTCCAGACACATGCTCCTCGAATACCTGCTCTTCAATTATACTTAACAGAACTCTTGTTGATTGCAAGAACCAAAGCGTGTTGTTATGAGTCAATCAAAGAGCTCAATCCATACCAACACTCACATCTTCACCCACACTCACACCTTGTTGCTCTTGCAATCAATGAGAACTCTGCTAGGTACTATTGGGGGGCAACTGTCATCGAGAAGCAACTGTCCGAAGAGCAAGTCTCGCTAGGGAGCAAAGGTCACGGGAGCATCTTTCGTATTACCTTTATGAGAAATATGAAGAGCTGTACAGTTTAGCAACAAAAATCTACCGCTATCGCGAGCTAGCGATAATAATACTTTATTGGATTCGATCATCTTTGAAAATCATGAAATTGATATGCGCGATTTTTCTTCGGTTTTACATTCAAAACGATTTGATTTGGAATGAAAATTCACAGTTTAAGTGACAAAGTTTATAATAGATAAGCGACAAAAAAAGGAATCTACGTAAATAGATTCAGATATCTTCAATGATAAGAAGCATTCTTTCATCTTGAGAAGAAAAGCGTTTAATTTTTTTTTATTCTAGTTGATTGTTTCAAGTATACTCATTCTTATCATTTTCATCAGTTGAGCATATGAGCTAATTTAAATGTGCATATAACTAATACAAAAACTTCAGTGTTTGTCAATCGAAAGACAGTCATATAATATGAATATGTTTTGAGATCTACGCATGTCAAGCGCATGAAAAACAAAGTTCGACTAGGGTTGACTTTTAACATTAAACTCTACATTATCTTTCATTAACAATTGTTGACTGAAAAAATCATAAGACCAGGGTTCTTATCTTTCTTGTTGCGTTTTTAACTTTATATCATTTTGCTTATATAAAGCATCAACGAATATAAATAGAGATATCATATTTTTGCAAGTGTGCTTCTTGTTTTTCTTTTTTTAGTATTTTAATTAAAAGAACAAAAAAAAAATGTTTAAAATCTTCGCCGTTATTCTTGGTACTATGTTAGTAGCTGTCAACTGTGGTTTACTTCCTGGTGGTTATTCTGATCATCCCGAGTTACTTCATGATTCACGTGTTCAAGCTTTAGCTACTTATGCTGCTGAATATTTGGCTATAAAAGAAAATATTTATCTTAGCCATATTAAACTTACACGTGTTCAAACTCAAGTCGTTGCCGGTATGAATTATAAATTAGATTTTACTGCTGAATCTATTAGTGGTGGTAGTGGTAAATTAACAACATGTCAAGCTATTATCTATGTACGATTTGATCAAACTCAAAAAGTTACCAAAGTTGAATGCCATTAAACATAAATTTTATCTTTTAATATTTATGTTTCTTCATTTTTTTGAAATAAAAAAAAACCCAAGCTTATTCTTTTTTATTCTTACTTTAACAGCTTCTTCGGCTTCTTTTAAAATAACTTCAGCAGCTGATAATTCTTCTTCAGCAATAGCTTTTTCTTCATTAACTTGTTTAACAAGTATTTCAGCGGTTTCTTTTGATTCTTGAACTTCTTTAGTTTTGATTTCAGCTGCACTACGTAATACTTCCATTTCGGCCACTTGCTATAGAAACATAATACAAAAAAAGAAAGAACATTATAGAAAATATATCAATATGTGAACTATTAGAGGCTTTGGTCTTAGTAGAAAATGTCTAAGTTACCAAAAACACAACAAATGTCGACAGTTGACTAACATCTTATGTGGATTCTACCAAATACTATACAATACCAAAGCGTCTATGACTCCACTAATACTTCCTAAGAAATTAGTACTGATTAATTCTCAATGTCTTTTCATCATCGTCAATTGAAGTCATATTCTCATTATGTTTCTTTTGAAAAAAAATCTCTTTCAATAGTCGGAGGAGTTTAACGATTTGTGAATTGAGCTCACTATTTTTATATGATGAATCTGAGAACAATACATAGCAAGAAAACGTGTTTTTGCTAGGGCGAAGCATTTAAATCAGTTGATATAGAGGTTATTCCTAAAATTATTGTGTCAAATTATCAAAATTGTTTTGATTTTTTGAAAAATCCTTTCAGTTAAAACTTATGAAAATAAATAAGACACAATAAAAGATCCAGAGGATTTCTACGCGGATATTAGTTTATTGTACTATCGTATATTAATCAAGAAAAACAGCAAATGTCAAGAATTAGAAAAGACATACTAAAACTTCGAAAGATTTTCAATGATTATAGAGTCTATTGTTTTTCCTTTTCATATGAATACATTAACAATAGTGATAATAAATTAATATGAAAAAATTCTATTAAATCAGGTAGATTACAGAAAATTTCTTAAACATTCTTAATTTCATTGCTGAGAAATGACAAAGGATTTTTTTAAATACTTTTGCTGCTTCCATATTAGCAATAGCCATATTTTTTTCTTTAGATATTAACTCTTGTGTAATTTCTTGAACTTGTTCAGCTGCTTCAAATAATTTTTGAACACCAGTTTTCATTTTTTGTTTTTCTTTTTCAAAATATTCACGTTGTTTTTGATAATATAATTTAAATGCATTTATAAATCTGAATAATTAAAAAAAAAAACAAAATATTAAATAAATTTGATTCTTATATATATATATTTTTTGTTACGATAGAAATGATTTTGGTGTTACATATGTACGTCGTCGAAATTTTTCATAATAATTTTCACATATTCGACTAACATCATCATGTATATCAGCCATTAATTCAATAACATTCTTTTTTATTGTATTTGATGTAACAAGAATATCAAAACGATTTAAATAAACATTTGATACAGCAATAAGAGCATCGAGTGGCCAACGATGAAACCTAATTTTAATAAAAGAACTTGTCGGTTTTTTTTTTTTCTATATGTTGTTTTATTTCTTTTGTATAACAAACCAATCAATAGTACAACCAGATACTAGAGCTGGAAATTTTAATGCACGTTCACGAAATTTTCGATTATCTGGAGAAAAACATAAAACAATATGAAGATTTTTACGAAGTCTTTCATAATAATAATTTTGTAGATTTTCATTTGTTAATAATCGTTTTGGATATTCTTTTTTCATTTTAACTGATAATTCTGATAAAGTTTCATCCATTTCTTCACGTGTTATTAAACCAGAAACCTTAGAATAATATTCAATAATTATATTTTATAGAAGAAAAACAAAAACTACTATTACTAATCATAAGAAAACTGCTACATTCTATCTATTTTCAGACATATATTAAAAACTTCATGCTAAGTGATTTTAATTTATCTGAATCATAAAGTATTCTTTGAGAAATCTCTGTATGAGAGTCTATGATAATGGTTGAAAAGTAGCCGATATCGTTGCATTAGGGTCTATCGATCTCGGAGTGCTGCTTACGATCGAATTTCACTGAAAATTATTTGTAGTCAAAATAACAGGCAAACGAATGGAAGTTAATTCAGATAACGGGACTTCTTGTGAGTATTGTATTATAACAAGATCTTATTGATATACGATCTGTGACATTGAAAGGGATTAGAATTCAAACTTCTATTCTTACAATTCTTTTAGATTGTGTTTCAAAAAAAAAAACACGAAATTACTTCTCCAGAACTAAGAACATTATTTAAATATTCAAGAAATTGATCATCTTTTATATCATTATCAGTAAACATAAATACAATTCCTTGACCAAGACGAGCTGCACGTCGATAAATATTTCGTAAATCATCCAAAAAATTATTTAATGTATATGTTCTTTAATAGAAATTATTAAAAATAAATACTAAATTATTTTATACGATTACCTTGAAACACTTATTTGAAAATATTTATAACCTAAATAAAACCTCATTGTAAACATTAAAATCTAAATAAATACATTTATTAACCTGCAATATATGCTGCTAATTTAGTTAAAGATTGTTTTCCACTACCACCAACGCCAACCTTATAGAAGAAGAAAAAAATGATATTATATAAAAACTAAAATTAATCTAACCAATAATAAATGTCCTTTTGGCATATTAATTACACGTGAAATCTTAAAAATAAATAATAAAAATTAGATTTCATTAAAATAAATTCTCACGAATTCGTACACGTAATAAATGTATCATAGCATCTTTAAAAAATACTAAATCCATATTACTACCACGAATTTCTTCATTCATTTTTGTCATACTAGCAATTAATTTTGTTTGTAAGATATCCCATGATGAAATTGGTTCATAAACTTTTGGTAATAAATCAGCAAGATCAATATCATCACCCATTTCATCAGTGACTTCCAGTTCTTCACGAAGAAAACTAGGCGAAAAAAACAAAATCAAAAGTATATTAAATAATTTATAGAAAAAAAAATTTGTTTGTTCTGAACAATGATTAAAGATTTCAGAATAATCGAAGTAAACAATTTATATCTTATCTGATATGGCTTATAGAAGAGTTCAAAAACTGAATTATTTTTATGACACTATACTTTTCAGAGTTTTTATTCGAGTGATTTCATACACAGATAATTCTTATTTTTGTTAAATAATCTTACTGATAATAAGTGTAAATGGTATTAGATTATTGTCTTTTGCAGTGTTTGACTGTAAGAATGTTCGTCTGATATTTTAAAGTGATTAGATAGTATGATTTTTGAAAATACTGGAACTTGTTGAGTCCTGAAATTTTTAAACTCAAACATTTTTATTCAAGTTTATTGATATGCTTTCAAAGTATGATAGTCTCGAAAACAATTTGGTATGTGTATGTCCACAGTTCAACTTGATCGTTCTTATTTGGTGTTGGTTTGGATGTGGATGAGTATGTTCTCTTCAGACACACAATAGAAAATGGAAAACATAGGGCATGCTCGAGTCAACCATATTAGATACATATTACAAAAATAAGTATACTCGAGTGCATACACAACTATTTCTAATTGTCAATGCATAATATATTTCACTGTTCAGAGAAAAAGGATGTGGTACATCATATGTAAAAAAGAGCAAATAAAATTTCTTATTTCGAATCTAGTAATTGTTTCTAGGGGCCGATAAGCTCAGCTCAGTTCCTCTGAGCGGAACTGAGCTGAGCTTGTCGACCCCTAATTGTTTCAATGCCTTGGGATGTTTTGCGGCGATTATTTATACTCAGTGATTAACGCATTCTATACATATCTCAGACAATCCGGATCGTGCCTTTATTATAATCCAATTTTAATTAGCTTCGATAGAATCGAGGTAGTAGATATAGAAATTCCTATTAAGTTAACAATAAGATTATTAAATAGAATATGTTCTCTAATAAATATAAAACTTAATTGAAAATTTCAATTACTTAGCAAAATAAACTTCTGAATCTTCTTGTATTGAAATATTATAAATATCACCAAAAGCTTGTTTAGCAATTCTAAATTGTTCTTTTCTAAACCATTCTTTTTCTATATTTAATACTAATCGATCAGCTAATACTCTTGTACATTCATGTTTCCATAATTGAAGATATTGTTCAATATCATTTTGACATTGTTCAGAATCAATTTGTAATATACCTTCCCATATACGTGATAAATCTCTTAAATTAAATATATAATGAAATTTAGCTGGTGTTGGTAAAAATTTTCCTTTAACTAATTGCCATAATATACGTGTTGCTGAAATAGATTTTTTAACTATTTCAATAATATCATTAGAAAAATTTCTTTCTAAACAAAAATATTTTCCAATAGAATTAAATATATGATCAACAGCATTATTTGATGGTAATGTACAATTTAAAATAAAAAAATGACGTTTTAATCTTTCAGATATATCATTACGACCACCACCTGGATGACACATAGCAGCAAGAAATTGTAAATCAATTATATTAAGAAAATCACCAGGTTTAATTAATGAATAAAAACCTTTTTGTTCAATAAGTTGTCGAAGTATTTCATTTGCTTCTTGATCACCCCATGAATTTATCATTGGCATATTAATATCATCAATAAATATTGTCATTTTACGTCCATATAATGGACCAAATGTATTTGCTACACGTTTATCAACAAAATTTTCTATTGTTTTTTGTATTAAACTACTTGTTGTTATTGATGAAAAATTTATTATACGTGTTAAATGTTGTTCACTATCATAATGTTTTAAATAACTTGTAATTATAACAGTTTTAGCCGTACCAGGTTCACCAATTAATAATACAGCTTTTTCTTGTTTCGCAAGTATATTAATAAGATATGATATACGAACATTATCAATATTAGGAACAAGAATTGATGCAAAATCAATTTTTTCATCCTTTGGATATTCCCATGTTTCAACACGAGTCGACCAATGTTCTAATAAAAAAAAATATATGAACTAAATCCTTCGTTAGCGATGTGAAGAAGTATACAAAAACTGCTCTCCTAATTCAGTGAGAAATTGAAAATCAACTTCCAATGATAAAAATTCTTCTTTAGAATCTCTAGATATTCGTTAATTACTTTTTCATTTATGGTCAGCTGAAAGAACCAAGATTTATATACATGCTTATGCTAAAAGGACTTATTTAAAAAAAATAATTTCGGTAAAGAATCAAAGTCAAGTGAAAGGTAGATATATCATGTTTTATTTTTTATAATTGAAAGTGACAAAGGATGATATATCATTTAAACTTACCCCATTGACCATTATCATTAACTAAATAATCAAAGATTGAGTCACCTTGTGGTATATTCTTCGGAATATTAATATCGCTTTGAGTAATAAAATATTGTTCAAGTTTAGCTCGATCATTTAATTCTAATAGTGAACCCATACTATAAAAAAAACGAAGTCAAAATATTAATGTTATACTCTTGTATTCGAGCATCTTTGATCTTTTACGTAGTGAATAATATGAAAAATGATTTTCCTAGGAATAGTTCGTCTTTGATATGAACTCATAAAATAGCACGATCTTCATGATAAAAGCTTTATCAGAACTAATAGTCAGTCAAAATTTGATTTTTCATCTGAATGAAGCCTTTATAATAGAAATGAATGATGCCAAATCATAATTAGAATCAATGAGTCCAAATTACAGTGTTTTATCCAGATTTGTTCTTCGGGAGGGTAAACATCTATTTTCAGGAGCGCAATAGAGGCCGTCGAACTCAACATTTTTGGATCGGAATTGTACTGATAATAATTTTAATAAAATTTTTTTTAGCTGTCTTGATCGTCGTTCAGAAGGCACGAAATAATCTTTTGTCTTAGTCAGATTCAATAAGCAGCATGCCCTAAGCATCTCTCACAATATCTTGACGGTGATCGTATAACAATAGAGTCATAATTGATTGAGAGCAGTTTCTCAAGCACAAACACATAATACAATATATCACTCCGGTGAAATGAATCATTTTTTTTGAAAAAGGAATCCATGGTAAGTAGGTTTCCAGCGTCATACCGATAAAATCAAAACATAACTGTGAAAAGTCGTTAAACAATTAATTTTACGTCATTCAAGATGAATCGATCATTTTTGACTCATTCTCTATCTCCACAGACATATGATTTTGCTTAAATTTAACTACCTCAGAGCTCTAATTAGCATACAAAAAAAAAATCTTCTTATTGAATTTATATACCTCCACATAAGTGCAAATATAGTCAATCGTTCTAAAAAAGTTTTCGTATATTCGATTTCTTTATTCAATAATCCATCAAGTAAATCAATGATCTATAAATAAGAAATCATTAAAATTTCTATATGTAAAGAACAAAAAAAAAAACAAACAAACTTGTTTGATATAATTACATTCATAAACTTTCATTTTTGGTAAACATTTTGTAATTAATAATTTAAATAATTCATCAAAATGTTTTTCAAGTATTTCAAATATATAAATTCCAATAGTTTTTATTTGTTTATTTAACCATGCTTGAAATATAGGTCTCCAAGGAAGAATTGTTGATGACATAAATATCATTCCACAACGTGATACTGTTGCTGGTGATGCATTATCAATATTATGTACTTCAAATATAAGTTTAACATTCGATGCCATTGGTATACGATCACCATTTGCTAATGTTAATAATTTATTATCATCTAATACAGAATTAAGATTTTCTATCCATATAGCATCAACAGGACCATCAAGAATAATCCACCAAGCTTCATCTATATAGATTATAAAAGAATTTTTGTTAATAACAAAAAAAAAAACATAAAAGAAATGTACGTATTCCTGATTTTGTTGATACTTCATAAGCTTTTAAAGTACGACGCCAAAGAGTAGAAAATATACCATCTGTCCAATCATTGGTTGCAACATCAAGAATACCAAACATTTGAGATGCTGTAATCGATTTGTATCTTCAGAATCTTTTGATCGACTACGTTTAACTGTTCCAAGTGTTCGAAGAACAGCTGTTATATTTCGTAAACCATAATCATAATGAACCTTATTTTTTGAAATTTAAATTAAAAAAAAAACAACAAGTTTCTCTTCTAATTAATATTTAATCTCACTTGTTTACTCAATTGATCTTCACAACATTTATAAAGTGTAAAAAATTTTTGTGCAAGATTTGTATTATCTAAAAATCCACCACTAGCTAATTTAACTCGCATTATTATTTGTCGATCAGGTACCATCATAGCTTTAAAAAACAAAAAAAAGTGGTTTTTTTATCGTGTGAAAGTCGTTTGTATTTACCAATACTACGAAAATTAATTTTTAAATTTTCTGGTAATTCTTGTCGACCAGCATAACCAGGATTCATAGTTATTATTATAGCAAATGTATCATTTAATATAATTTTATCACCATCAGTAAAAAGAAATTCTTTACGTCGTTCACGTTTTGCTTGTAATAAACATTGAATTTGTTGTGCTGCGACAGATAGAACAGGTAAATTTATTCGATTAAATCTAATTTATTTATTATAGATAAATATATAATAATCTATAGAAAGAAAGAAAAAAAACGAATTTCTTACTCATCAAAACATCCCCAACAACCACTTATTGCTAAACCTTTAAATGTTTTACCAAGACCACGATAATCAAATTGATCAGAACAATTTTGTACGATACAATATTTTCCTAATGTTCGAGCCATATCTTTAGTTGTTTCTGTTTTGCCTGTTCCAGCTAAAAGAAAAAAAAATCATAAAATTAATATTTAAAAAAAGATTTTTTCATGTTTCATACAATGGACAAACTTGAAGTTTTATTTTTAGACTAATCAACTTTTCTTTAGTAAGATTTGATATACCGGTTTCTCCATAACAATGAGAAATCGAGAACTGAACTTCATTACAAATAGATGTAACGTACATGTTGTTATTAGAGCACTTTATTTCTGAATTTTTTTTGTTTATGAGCATTTGATGTGTTAGTATAACTCTAGACTAGTGCTTGGCATGACCAACTTTTTTGGTCACAGTGAGTCAAGCCCGTGACTGTGATCGTTAGTCATGACCCTTCTTTTTGGTTCCTTAACGTAAAAAAACTTTCCAGAAAAAAGCTATTGCAAAGTTTCCATTGGCTATTAAAAGTAATGACTGCAAGTAGAAAATAGCCTGTGAAGATCGCCTTGTCCATCCTCAGTGCTGAACCCCTGAATGTTCTCGCCTATTTTAGTACCCGTGATCAAGCTTCGGTCACGCTGGGCACTAACTCTAGACATACAGATAGGAATGGTGACTCTAATAAGTTCTGATAGATCTTAATGAATTATTTCAAGTTTAGTGTGAGCTTAGTATACTATCTTAAAAATACTTAATTCATCATATTCCTACAGATCCTAGAAATAAATCCATTGTCATACATATAAAGGTTTTGAATCATCTTGTAATTCATTTACATTACGAACTCATTAAAGTAATGTCATATTAAGTTCTAGGCATATAAATATAGACTAGAAAACTAGTCCAATTAGTTTGTTACGCAATCAAGAAAATATTCTTTTTCGACTTAATAAAATCAATATAAAATGCTTTATTATTACCTGGCCCAGCAGGACTTGCTCCATATGACATAGCTGAAGATAAAAAAAAACGTAATTGAATACAATCTAATACGACATTTTAATATTCTAATATATATACCTAATGCTTGTGCAATAGAGATATAACATCTACAAGAATGATAATCATCTTAGTCAATATTCATTTTTATATTATTTATTTTATTACCGATCAGTTAATGGTGTAATAACAAGTCTTTCAGGACATCCTAATGCTTCATTATCATATATAAAAGTAACATCAGTAATTTTTACAAGAAGTAAATCTTCATCTTCACGAAAATAAAATCTACATTGTTTAGCCCAATCAAAATCTAAATCAGATCGTATTCCTGTTGTATAAAGTTCTTGAAAAATATCACGTTGATGAAGATGAATAGTAATTAATGTTTCATATTTTAATCTTTGATATTTTGTTAGATCAACTAGAAAAAAAAAGAAATAAATGAAAAATTTTTATTTCAAATAAAAATCAAAAAAATTCATACAAGTTGTTTTATCAATAAATTGATTAAGCATATCTAAGAAATATTTATTTGTTTCATTCATTGAATTTTTATTAATTATTGATTCTTGTAATGTTTTTTCACTTCGTTTTGTCCAAATAATTTGAACAATTAATAAACCTAATTGTGCTATTTCTTGTTCAATAAATTTATATAAATCAAAATCTTCATAAGTCATTTTTTCTATACTATGTCGAATATATTGATGAATAGTTTTTTGATGTGTACGTATAAAATCATTTAACCATTCTTCAACTTGACCTTTTGCTATAATATCTTTATAAAATGGAATTTTTTCATCTAGTTTAATAGAAAAAGACATATAATATTTTTTTAATTAGCTGTTTAAAAAAAAAAAAGTAATACCATCTCTTGTTGTCATAGATAAAATACGATCAATTTCTTTAGTATGAAATTCAACATATTTAACCTATATTAATATGAAGAAAAAATAATAATAATAATATACGAATAATTTTCTTACGGCTTCAGTAAATGAACTAAGATATGATTGAATTTTAGTTGGATCTGATGCTTGACCAAGTATTTCAAGCATAACAGGATCAGATAAGAAATAAAATCTTGGAAATACACCACGTTTTGTTTCTAAATAACCAGCAAGACTTTTTTGACAAAGTTCTAATTGTTCAAGCATATTATTTAATAATGGAAATAATGTTTCATCTGATGTACAACATGATAATACATTTGAATTTTCCTATTAAAAACAACAACAATATTTGTATATATCAACTGAAACTCTTAAAATAATTAAATTTTTCTTTAGAAGTTTACTTTTGCTTTTGAAATTAATTTAATCCATGTTTTGTCTACATTAGCAAAACGACGTGCTTCTTGTGGCATTTGTTTACCAATATCACCACCAACAAATACTGCTTCTATATAGAAAAATAAAACAAAATATATGTTATTTTATAGTCATGCACATCTCTTGATGAAGAACAATATATATAGCTGTACGCTCAAATATCATAAACAGACTGAAAATACAATTCATGATCTGATAGTTTGTCTATGAAGGGTATATAAGCTGTATAAAATTTTGCAAAATTTAATTTCAAAAAAAGACAAAGCATAATCTAATCTCACGATAATGAATAAATTATATCAGAGATGCCCGTAAAGGTGCAGAAATGGTACTCGCACAGATAGCACTTGTCAGAATTTTTGAGCAGAATCTCATAGATTACTAACAATCGTTTCAAATCACTACAAGCACCACGATGAAATGCGCAGTAATTTTTTGAATACTACAGGGTGTCTCATAAGTGGCAGATTTTTTTAAATCTAATTTTTGATGATAATGAATACAAATTAAACTCAAACTTATACATATGACACGGCTTAGCATGTACTTTTATTTCATATATTTTATTTGGATTAGATCATTGAATATACAAGAAAATAAACAAATTCAATGAACATACCCTCCATTGACAAATATCAAAAGTCTGCATTTTTTCGCTACTTTGTTAGTTTTTTCTCCAATTACTATTCCTATGGGAGTAAGTTTTTACAAAAGAAATCACACATTCTGATAGCACTTGAAATGCTCTATGATATTATGTATTAATACAGTGTCTTAAATTTAAGTAGCGAAAAAAAATGCAAATTTTTTGGGCTAGTCGATTCGGAGTATATTCATTGTATTCAATTTTATTTCAATCTATAAACGCAAGAAAATAAGTAAATAGACAGGGTGATAGAGAATTTTAAGCTCTATCAGAATCTATAGTTACTTTTTCATACAGATCATTCTATACGGATGAAAAATTTTTAAAACTAGTTTTGATGACGAAGGAAAGATCAAGTCTGGGAATCTGGACATGAGGGTGCCTTCGTTGTCTTCAATTTATTTTGGTAATGAAAAGGTCAAAACTAAAACCTAATTCTACAGAATGATAGAAAACTCCGCGAGCTTTCAGAATATGTAATTAGTTTTAAAATAACTTATTTTTATAGTGACAATATATGAGAAATACAGAGTGAAACTTTTGTCGGGGTATATATATTGTAACACATTGATGGTGTGCTTATTTTGCACATGTACCAATTTCTTTATTTTTTTGTATATCCAATGATTAAATTCAAATAAAATATATGAAATAAAAGTACATGTTAAGTTGTATGATACGTGTAAGTTTGAGTTTGATTTGTATTCATTATCATCAAAAATTAGATTTAAAAAAATCTGCCACAACTTATGAGACACCCTGTATCATCATGTATTTTAAAATTTGTAGTGAGCAATATCTAACTGTTAGATAACATATACAGTGAATACCAAAATTGATCAACAAGGTTTATTTTCAATCTTTTCCCGCTACCCTAAATGCTAAAAAGAATCCAAATAGTGATTTCGATAGAGAAAAATGTCGCCGACAAGAATTTGAGAAAATGATAATCTTCAGTAATTTTCCTAAAATAGGGTTTCTAAAAAACCAAAACCTTTGTTTTTCAGCGCCCAGAAGCTGCGAAAAAAAACCTGTTTTAACAACTTAGAATGATAGAGTAGTCAATTCTCTACAAAATGAGACGTCTCCGAACTTTCTACGGCATTCCCTTCAAAAGTTATAGGCATCACAAAAATTGAAAAAATGCGTTTTTCAGTCGATTTTTAGCGATTTTCTGACAAATTTCACGTTTTTTCAATTTTTATGATGCTTATAACGTTTGAAGGGAATGTCGTAGAAAGCTCGGAGACGTCTCATTTTGTAGAGAATTGACTGCTCTATCATTCTAGGTTGTTAAAACAGTTTGTATTTCGCCGCTTCTGGGTGCTGAAAAATTTTAGTTTTCTAGAAACTCTATTTTAGGAAAATTAGTAAAGATTATCATTTTCTCAAATTCTTGTCGGCGACATTTTTCTCTATCGAAATCACTATTTGAATTCTTTTTAGCATTTAGGGTAGCGGAAAAAAATTGAAAATAAACCTTGTTGATCAATTTTGGTAGTCACTGTATATATTATTCAGACTTTCCGATTGAGATAAATATTAGTTTCTCTTTTACCTAAATAAATCCATAAATTTTGTACTTGCATCCATTTTGTTAATATTTCAGCACATATAGCTAAATCAGCAATATATTTTTGTATTTGATTTTTAAAAAATATATTATAACGATTTGATGCTAATGCAGCTAATATTAAATTTGAATCATCAATAGCTGATAGTATTTCTGATGTTTCTTGTCCACGTAATAGAAGTTCACCACGATTTTTAAATGATGTAAATTTAAATTCACGTTGACGCCATTCATGTTCAATAGAAAATAATTTGGATTCAATATCACGTTCTTTTTGTGCTGTTATTGATATATCTTCAATATCTTCACGATATTTTATTAATGGAACATTCATAACATGTTTTAATGAAAATATAGATGAATCATTATGTGGTATATGAATTTTAGCTAATTTTTCTATTCGTTCCCAATGACGAGACTATTCAAAAAAGGAAATATTTTTGTTTTTTTTTTTGAAAATTCAAATACCTGCATAGCTGGATTAATTAATAATTCAAGTAATGGTAAACATTCATTAAAATTATCTAATTTTTTCTTTAATTCACTATAAGCTGGCCATGTTTTTAAACCTTTTGGTAATTTTTTCATTTTATCTAAAGACAAAATAAAAATTGCAATCATACATAGATTATTACACTACTGGTCTCATATAAAAGATCAACGTAATGAAAAAAAAAATGCTTAGTTTAGCTGATCTCTAGCCATGCTATGAAAAATTTCGCTGTTTTCTTATTTTTTGTAACGCTTATAACTTTTGTAGGAAATACAATGATCCTTCATTTAATTCAGAATTTACATCACATAGACTTCTAAAGATTTGAAACCTTCTTCTCCTATATTATCTATGAAACTTGGGTATGAAATATATTTGATAAAGGACTTTATAAACTATTCAAAGCCTTATTTGAATTTGAGTTATATCACTGATATCATTAAAAAAAAGTATGTTAGTCTTATATTTTCCTTTTTTTATCAGTAATGTATATACTTTGAAATTCTTGTATTTCATTTGTAATTTGATCAATATGAAAATCTTTCCAATTTGTTTCATAATATATTTCCATGGTATTTATAACATCATTATAAAGACCATAGAGACGTTTAAGATAATTAAGTTGTTTTTTAATTGTTTGTAAATGAATATATTCAGTTTTATCTAAACCAAATAATTCTTCACCAGCAACAAATGTTTCATAACGTTTCCATAAATCATTAAAACGTGATTCAAAATGTGTTAAACGATCACTTGCTTCTTGAGCTGGTAAACCTTCAATCATTGGACCATTATTATCATAATCTTCGACAAAATCTGTAACATCAGTTTGAAATTGTTTTATATCAATAAGAAAACGATCAAGAAATGATTGTTGAGTATTAACAAGATCATGTGTAACATATTTAGCTCGTTTAAGAAGACGTTCATGTGTACTACGAAGCATTTCAATAGCCATTTGTTCTTCTTGTGGAATATCAATTGAATAACGTTTAAATAAATTGTAAACTTCCTTTATTTAAAAAAAAGATAATTCAAAGATAAATGATATGTTCAACTAACGTAAGTTGGTAGAGTGTGGGTGTGGGTGGATTAAAAGCAGAGTTGACCCTAGTGGCGTAACTAGGATTTTGGCGATGGTAGGGCTTAGCGTCGCTTAAATGTCTGGTGATTGGGCTCAGGAGAATGAGGTCTGTGGAGTGGTAGGGCTGATAAGAGAATTTAGCTGACGAAGTTGACGTCGGTGGTTGGGCGGAGCCCTACCCTGGTTACGCCACTAGTTGAACCTACACCCACATTCAAGATAGACTTTTTAACTACTGAATATCATACCCAGCAAAAAAAGGTGGTTTTACACGTGAAGAATTCGTTTCGTTAGTGAACTGAATCTGGTCAACGAATTCTTTGAGAAATGCGTTTATAACCAAAATAAACATTTGAAATTTTATAGACAGTTTCTTTTAACCAATAAAGCTCAGAATACTATCCATCATAATTCTTTTGATAACTAAGAAATACTAACGTCGCAATACCGATGATCTACAGATTTGGTGTACAGTATGTGTAAATAAATTTCAGATCGCCAGCACACAAAACCACCAAGATCAAAACTATATTCTATTCTTCGTTAAATTACACATAGGTTTTTCTTCCCTTAAAGTAAGAGTATGTGATGATAGATTTTATTCACTATGTATTCTGTCTATAAATCAATGCTTGAATAATAATTTAAATTTCTTACTTCTAATGGTTCAATAGTATGATCGACAAATACAAAATTTTCTTTTAATGTATCAAGTGCATTAATAACAAATCGTACATCATCAAGATCTCTTAATTGTCGATTTAAACGTGGTTCAGTTTTTTTAAAAAAATCATTAATACTCATAAATTTCATTCTATAATGTATTCGAATATATTTAGCAAATATTAATTCAAGTTGTCGAATTTCATCAAATAAATTTGTTTTTAATTTATTTGTTATATAACGAAATGGATCAATATCTTTTGATTCCGATATTCGTTTAATTAAATCTCGTGTATCATCAAAATCAGAAAATATTGATCGAATAGCAGCATAACTTGGATTAGCTAAAATGAATTTTTTTGCTTGATTTATCTTATTCATTTCCCATAAATCACGAAATTCATAATATTCTTCTAATTCTTTTTCGAATCTTTTTATATTAAAATAATAAAAAAAATAGATTAATTAATATCAAAAATAACAATCTTACCGAACATGATTTTCTACAAAAAAAGTTCCAATATTTTGATATAATTTAGTTAATTCTTTATTATTTGATATTGTGTTATAATATGTTTTGGCTGAAAAAAAAATATAAAATTATCATATAGATTTGAATCATAAACTACCTATCGTATTATCAATAATTTTTTGTAATTTATACTCTCTAAGTACTATTTATATAGCTTTCATTTTGACGTTAAAAAAGTTTTACTGTTATATTTAATCAATTGGGATCCGGACAGTTGCTCGCCGGACAGTTGCGCGCGGACACTTGCTCTATAACAGTTGCATAGGATCCTATAGCGAGCAACTGTCCTAGCAAGCAAGTGTCCGCGTGCAACTGCCCCGCGAGCAACTATCCGGATCCCAGTTATTTTATATTGTACAAGCGTATGAATCACAAACGAAGCTCTAGTCTTAACCCTATTTGAATGATAATACTTGAACATATATTTTTTTTCATAACTAATACTGATTATTCATGAATTGAATTGTATTATTATGATAAAATTTCAAAAATTAATAAACATTTCGATGAATTCTGTTAGTAAACCTTTGTGATAAGTGGTGCAACTGTGTCTAACGGTAACTAGATACATTGTTTTTGCGAACTTTTTTCTAAGTTTCTCGATTGATAGCTTTAGAACTATCATCGAACGTTAGAAGATACTTCTATGCATTCGGTAAGACTGGCACATCCTTTATAGTATTATTGAGTTTCATGAACATAGTGCATCATTCAAGCGTTAACCATTTGCTCGTGGATCGATCAGTTATCTAATTCTAACTTCGGTAAGATTCAAGAGTGAAACACTTATTATACTTAGCATGTTCTAATAAAATCTTAAAAGAATTTTTGTTCCTATTCATGTTTAATTAAACTATAGAATTTTTCATATGTCTATTTTCTAGAGACCTCAAATTTTAGGAAAACTCGTCTTTACTTTCAGAGTCTATATTAGAACAATTGAGATTTTAAAAAAAACAGCTTTTATAATAAAGGAGTAAACACCACTGTTGCAACCAATGCATGTGAGTTATTAAATTTTTTTACAATGACTTCCTATATAAGACTACGTCTTCGAGTGTAACAATATTTTTCATATTGACTTATAATTCAAAGTAAATCAATATTTCTTTTACCTTGTTCAATATGTCTTAAATTTTCATCTGTATTATCAGATATTTTATCTATTTCTAAATTTTCATCTGTTGGTAATAAATCCGAAAAATCATGCATTGGATAATTATGTATAAGTTTACAATCAATATGTCGTACTTCACCCCATTTTCGTACACCATGAAATATATTTAAAACATAATTAACTAATTGATGCATTAATTGTTGAATTTCATCAATACTTGGATTTAATATAATAATAGAAGAATGTAATTCAACATTAGTTAATATTAATGGATGTATGATATTATCTTTTCTATCGATATTTGCATCGACTGTATCAAGAGAATATAATCGAAGTTTTTTTAATCGAGATTTTATTTGAATTCTAAATAGAAAAATGTTGCCTTTTTTTTGAACTTCTAAATAATTTTACAATGTTGGATTAGCTCGAGTTTTAATCATTTCAAATGTATTTTTAGCACATAATGTTAATGCTTCAATTAAACGAGCTTCAAATGAACTAAGAAATTCATTACCTAAGAAAGATATTGAAAATAATAAAAAATATCATTTTTATACAAAAACAATGAATCTGTGAGATTTTTCTTTTTACAAAGTTCATTAAAACGTTCCCATTCATTTGATGGTTGTAGAATAAATTGATTTGGATTTCTTGATTTTTTTATTGATTTTGATGGATCTTGAACAAACATTTGTATTGCTAATCGTTGCATTGATGAAAGTTGCATTAAATCTAAAAAAAAAAAACATACAAAATTTTAAATCTTTATCTTTGATATTTATTTAGTTAATAACCAATATCTCCAATTTTTTGTTCAAATGGTTTTGATTTATAACCAATTTTATCAAAAAACATTTGTATAACATGTAAAACAGCTGATTCAATTTGCATTGAAAGTGAATTAAGTTTTTCAGCTTTAAATATAATTTGTTGTCGAATATCATTAATAAATTGTTTAAAATCAATTGAATCATCAGGAAATTCAAGAATTTCAAAACGAGATACTTCATTTAATGGTTCTTCAATACGATGAATTATTAATGAAGATATTTGACTAAGAAAATCAGACATTAAGGATATTTTTTCTTCAGCTGGAAGAAATAATTCATCGAAATTTTTTGATAACCAATTCAGACGATTTAAACCAATTGAAAGAGTATTATCAACCTAAATCAAATAGTTAAACTTTGATTGAATCGATCATAGAATAGCGACAGTGCAGCTTTTCTCATCTCCCATAAAACTTTTCAAAAGACTCCCCCCAAAAGTGTAGTGGAAGTCATTTCATTTTTCAAAAACGCCATTTGTTCTATATTGAACAAAGCATTCATATTTTTTTGAGCGACGTCATTTAAGCAATTGTGTACAACAACTTTAAAAAGATTTTAAAAAAGAGCTCATCCTTCCCTTAGCCACTATTTTGGAAGATAATATTCTATTCAAAATTAGCATTTGAATGTAATTATTTACAGCTTACATTATTCATAATCAGAACAGAACTGTTTCGATTGGTTTGACATATTAAATAGAAAGAATTGACTATTATACGTTCCAAAATAGAAGGCGGGTGGTTGTTTCTTGAATAAGTTTTGATAGGAAAAAGATAGAGACCTGCGGTTTTCAGCGTTCGATAGCCAAGACTCAGAAGCATCTATCATCAAGCAAGGTCTCTTCTCAGATGAACTCTCAACAGTGGTTTTTCAGAGGGTCTCTGGAAAACTACGCGGAATTTCCAAAAACTGCCCTATAAACCTACTGACTTCTCTACATATTCTTAATCAACAGCAAAAGACGAATTGATTCATATAAATATCGAAGGATTTCGAAGACATTTTTTTTCGACGAGCACCCTACCGCAAGGGGTACCTCAAGAACTAAAATGGGTCAAAAAGTCACCTGGATAGTTCAAAACGATTTCGAAGTTCGTAAAATGACGTTAGAACGCAAAATAATGAGTTGTTAAACAATAAAAACAGCATTTTCACTAACTTCATTTTTTTAAGATACCCCTTGCGGTAGACTACTTGTCGAAAAAAATGTCTTCGAAATCCTTCGATATTTATATGAATCGATTCGTCTTTTGCTGTTGATTAAGAATATGTAGCGAAGTCAGTAGGTTTATAGGGCAGTTTTTGGAAATTCCGCGTAGTTTTCCAGAGACCCTCTGAAAAACCACTTTTGAGAGTTCACCTGAGAAGAGCCATTGCTTGATGATAGATGCTCCTGAGTCTTGGCTATCGAACGCTGAAAATCGCAGGTCTCTATCTTCTTCCTATCAAAAGTTATTCAAGAAACAACCACCTGCCTTATATTTTGGAACTGATATTAGTTCCTAACTCAAAGTTTAGGTCAGATGAATGAAGAATGGTTTATCATTCTATAATAAACTTGACCAAACTACTAAAATATACTTTAAACTATCAAAAACTGATTTTCTTCCCCTTGTTATCAAATGGAATCTTTCTCTTTTAAACAGGACAATATCAACATTTCAACTAATACAGTAGTTTCGTCTATTTTATATCTGTATATAAGTTCATGTTGCAACTTGATTCTTTCGAATGATGAAAACTACACATTTCTAACTACAGATAATCTGCATTTATGCGAAAAAAAAATAGTGCAATACACTATATTTATAAATTGATAGTATATTCATTAGAAAACAAAGAACAAAAAGGAGTCTGTTGAATAGTACAACGAACTTTTTTGTTTATTTAAGTCAAAATCGATCATTTGTTTTCGAAGCAAGACTAATAAGCATTATTAACTATAGAATTTTCTTATTATCATCAATCTCTTACTTGTGCCATTACTTTTTCTACTAATTCATAACTAGTTGGATGTGCTTTAGCTAATAGAATTGAAAAATCTTTGAGTAATTTCTAAAATATTAAAATATAAATTTCGTACACATATGTTTATCTTCTATGTTCACATACTTTTAATCTTTCATAATAAAATCGAATTCTATTTCTATCTAATAATAATTTATATCCTAAATCAGGCATTGTTATTGAATATCGTGCTAATAATTCACATTCATGTAAAATTGTATCAATAAATGGATCATAATTAATATATAATTGTCGAATAAGATTTTGTCGAATAAGAAGTGGATTACATAATAGATTGACGACATCACCTAATGTATTATACCTAAATATATAAAAAATTTTAGAAGCAGAAGAAAACTAAACAAACAGAAACCAATGACGATGATATAAAAGTTCATAAAGTGAAAAACCATTTATAATCATAAGAAAATTTTCTGTAATTTTTTTCATTATTGGATGATCTTTTAATTCAATACGTTTAATAAATTCAATATAAGATATTTGAATACGTTTATACATTCGTCTTGCCCATAGAATACGACCTAAAATAGAAAAATTTTTAAACAAGAATTTTTTTGTTTTTTTTCGATAATTTCTTTACCAATAATCGGTGGATGATCTCGTTCAATAGTAGGTATATTTCGACATTGATTATAAATTATTTTGACTTTCTAAATAAAATAATAAAAAAAAAAATCAATATAGAATTTAATATAATTTATTATTCTTAATATTTTAATTACATCAAGTTCTTCTTTTTCATACCATTGAATAATATCAATTAAGAATTCAGTTGAATCAAAAAATGGTATATGTAAATTTTCATAACGTAAAAGTAATTTTAATGCATTATAAGAATAATGTGATGGTGAATGAAGTATACGATGAAGATCTTTATCTAAGATTTGATAAAGTTTTTGCTAGAAAAGATGAAATACAAAAAAATAAAAATTAAATATCAATTTATCTACATCAATATCAGAAAGTGTATGATGTAATTTATTATAAAATAAATCAAATTGTTTATCATTTGAATCGAATAAATTAAATTTAAATGTATAAAATTCTGTTTGAATTTTATTATAAATAGAAGTTATTTGTTCAAGACCATCCATTCGAGATTTTGATAGAAGAGAATAGATTTCAAATGATTCAATTATTTCACGAAACTAAATAAAAAGAAAATTAATATTTTTCTTGTTTGATTTTAAAAAAGATAAAACTTTACACTAGTCAAACGTTGACTTAGAAAATCAAGTTGACCAAATAAATGATGTTCAGAAAGATGATCATTTGTTTTATTTAAATAATGATTTTCAATTTTTTGTTTTATTTTTATAAATATTTCATGATAAGTTTGATATAAATTATGAATATAATCAATACGTTTTAATAATTCTTTTCTATCAAGTGTTCGAATATCAATTGTATGATTGTTAGTTAAATAATTTTTACAACTAATTACCATCTGATTATTTATCTAAAAAGTAAATAGTGAATTAAAATTAAAAAAAATTTTTTTTTTTTGAAAGACTTACAGAAACAAGTAGACCAGCAATTTTTTCTGGTTTGGAATAAAATTCTGAACATGAATTAATGAGAACTATAGTATTGAGAAGATTATTGAGATTTTCTTGAATTTCACGCTAAAATAAATAAAATATAAAAATTATTATCATTCAAATTAGTGGAAATTTCTAAATGAATCCATTCCATCATTGTTTCTAGAACATATTTGTAGCAATTTTTTCAATATTTTTAGAATTCATTCGCATCATCCTTAGTGAGTGTGCTGAATTCAACATACTCGCATATTAGGTTAATTATCGGGAAAATATCTTTCCGTGTTCTCCATTACCAATATGTTACAGGATCTTGATTGGATATTCTACCATTCTATGCATAAGTTTATTGAGTACTTAAAACCGAACACGTCCCGATGAATTCTTAAAACTAACTGGTTTTCACCGATTTTTTTGTATTGATGTTTTTAGGATCCTAACTCTAAATATGAAGTCAACATTTTCTCATCATACAATGAGAGCCTTGGATCATGCTAAAGGAATTTATTATGCTTACGAAAAATTAACCAGTTGGTTTTGGTCCGAACTAAAAATTTTTAACTCGAAAGTTCAAGTCCGTGTTTTTGGGCTATTTTCCATTTTGTTGAGAAGATCCTGCCTGCTACTGGCATCATGCCATTGTAAAAATTAGTTGTTGTTTAATATTAATTCTTGTGAGTTATTAAATAAAACTTTGAAAGAAATGTTTGTTGAATCTTATTTTTAATATCTATGAAATGCAACAGACTAGAACAAGAGTTATTACTGTTAGAAACTTCGAGGATAATTGATCCAATTATAGGTGTAGATTGAACATTTAGAAGAATTTTGTAGTCAAATGTTAAAACCTCATAAAGTAATCTAAACCCAGTCATTCACTAGGAATAGTCAAAGTTCATTTGTTTCCATGCTACTGAACTTTGCAGTAGGTTTTTCACTCGCCATCATCTACTGTTGAATCAGATTCTAACAAAACCAATGGACAAAAGATTACAACGTGTATTTTTGATAATTAATTTGAAATTTCAAAGAGCATTTTATTATAATGAACCTAGGCAGATAACTGATGACTCTATGGGTTCCGTATTCGAAATGAAAACAAAAGTTTTCTGTGTTTCATGATTTTTAAATAGTCTTTCATTTCGTTAACCAACTCGTCTAATTGTATAGTTCGTTCGGATGAATTTCAAACTTCAACTAAACTTGTTCTACTAATCTATGATACTAACGGATGTAACATAATGAAGAAAATCTTTCTACAAAGTTTATTTTTTAGAGTAAAATTTACTTCATTGAACTACTGAGAAAATCTATTCAGATTAGAAGTATGCTCATTAAAAAATGCAAAGTAGTTGAATGTTGTTTCCACTGCTCAAGTCAACATTTCAACCATTTTGTTCAAAATCATATTTTTTCATTCAACTTAGTAAAAATGTACGAGAAGCGATCGCTCATATTTCAACTTCATTTGTTATAATATGTATTCAAAGATTCATTCAAATGTTAATTTGAAATTTCGTTCTACTAGATAAAGTTACTACAAATCTTATGAAGATCATGATCGTACAAGAAAGCAAAAAAAAAATTCTCTATTGAATGAATCTGATATCGCTTTTTAAGACCATTGTCACGTATTTGTAAGACTCAAAATGAAATCCAAGTATTCATTATATCATATCCGTTCTATAAAATAAATTTACCGGATCATTACGATAAAGTGGTCCAATATGTTTAGCAACAATCATTAAAAATTTATAATGATCACGTGCTTCATTAATACATAGTGTTAATTTTTTATCAATTTCTCTCCATTCCTTAAAATTAAAATTTTATTAATATTAATCTTATATAATTATTTCTTATACAAACAATTGAACGTGGACTTGCAGCAATATTAAGTAAATAAATAACAGCACGATTCGAAGGTAAACGAAGTTGATTTATAAGATGATTTAATTGTATGACTTGTTTTCTCCAATATTTTATTTCATTTAATGGACCTGAATCAGACATTATTTGTCGAACTAATGTACTCTTTCGATAAAACTAAAAATCAAAAAAAAAAAAAGAACATTTTAATAATATAGATAATATGTTATAGGACAAGGAAAATTTTAATTTCTTCTATAAGAGAATTTTAAGTTATTCTAGCAGCAATCAATACAATCATTAGTTTTATTAGCATGTAACTGCATCTATACACTATGTCATTTCGATAAGTAATGATATATTTATTGCTGTTAAGGCAACTTAAGATTTTCCTAGAAGAGACATTAATATTTCAATATCCTTTTTTTTGGAAAGTTTTGAATTTCTTTTGTAACATGTACATTATCAATTTCTTTTATCCATTCAATAATTGTTTCTTCAGTTTGTTGAACTAATTCTGTATCTTGAACAAAACGTAAAAGTGAATTTGGATTAATAATTTCTTGTGTATCATGTCTTAAACGTATAGGTACTTTTTGTAATTGAATACAATCAATAAATGATTTATGTATTGTTCGAAAAAAAATTGCATTTTGTTCAATTTGATATATTAAATTTAATTTAATTTGATCAGTTTTTCTATTAAATAAATATAATTTATTCCATTCATCAGCTTTTTTTATTGATGGTAAATAACTAAATAAAATTGTTTCTAAATTTATCATTAGATCAAGATTTTGTTGATCAAAATTCATAGAAAAAATAACTAATTCCTATAGAATATAATGAACTATGAAATTATCTTATGTTTCTTTTTTTTTATTTAACTATACATTTTTAAAATTTCTTTCTGTTAATTTTATTGTATTTGGTTTTATAAAAATTACACCACCATCTTCAAATGATTTATCTATTCCGATCTAAAATAAGATTTTAATTTTTATTAAATTGATCAATATGAATAACATACTCCAATATAAGATTCATCAGTTTTTATTGATTGATTTAACTGTGGTAGAACTATATAAATTAAGTAGGCTTTTTTTTTTGTTGTTGCACATGAAAGATATTTACTTATACTTGATCGTTTACTAGAACGAAATCGTTCTTGAGGATCACAAAAGAATATAGGTAAAATATGAGTATTTTCATCATTAAGAAAATGTTGAATTGAGTTCCACTAGAATAAATCATGAAAAATATTATTCTTAAAAGGCAAACATATTCTTTGTATACATTTTGTGTTTCTTGACAATATTCAACAATTAGACTTGATTGAAAATTAGAAAAAAATGCTAAAATATCAAAAAGAAATGTATGAACATTAGTTATTGTTTCATTTGTAAGATTTTCTTTTAATAATATATCTTCATCTTGATTTTCTTTCTCAATTATTTCTTCATGTATTTCTTCAGCAATAGTTGGTTCAACATTATTAATTTTTGTTTCTTGTTCTATAACATTTTCAATATCATCCATTGATTATTGAAAATTATCATTTATTTTAAAGCGCTCTTTTTTATTATGATATTATTGAGTACAATTCTGCATGAGTAGCATGAATTTTTGATAGTTTGAAATAAGTCTAAGTTGAATCTATGAAGCAATATTATACTTACTTAATATGTATGTATGCATTAGTACAGGAAGTGATCAAAAGTAGAATGAAATATTTGCCAAGCGTTAAATTAGACTTAAGTCTCAACCAAGCAATCGGCTCATATATATTCATCTAATAGAATAAAGATTACGTCTGACAGTTGAACAAACTACTCAATTAATGTATCGTAACAATCTTTTAAGCATCTATGAAGCAGATCCAAGCTAATCTCAATGGCTCATCAGCATACTTCAGTTTCAGTTCGATTATAGTGGCCTATAAAATAAAAGCAAGAGCAGATGTATTGAAGAAAAATTAAATTTAGTTAGATGAAAATTTCTTAATATTTTTCAGTTATTCAATATAAATATACTTGTACAAATCGAGTTTATTCGTATTGATTGGTACTCACCTAGCTCAGGTGATTTTCCTGGTATCTCTCGAAAATTTTCGTTAGATCTTAGTCGTGTCATTGAAAATTTCTTTCACTATATTTGTTGATTTTGAAATTAAGACGAAAATAAGCTTGGCCATGCCGATTAATGCCGTGACAAGAACAAGAAATTGCTTGGTTTTCATCTTTGAACAATCTAAAAATCAATCGCCAACTTTTCCTTTGCGCAAGATAAATTCACCAAAATTATTCAAACGAATCATCTGTATCTAGGGCAGATTTTTAGAAAAATTTTTCTTCCTAGCGTTTGATCAGATCACTTGGCAAGAATAGTCATATGTCTAAATGAAAGAGTCTCATGAATGAATAAATTATCGTATGTAAAATCTATTTGAATCAGATAAAAATTTCTCTCTATACAAGTAGTAAGAAAATGTCATCTTTAGCATTCTGAAGTTTGATAGTGTGCTAGAAATTCTGTCATCTGCTACTTCAAGCATAATTTTATTGGATTAGAATATAACAACAGCAACTTGGATACTGAGGACAAGACGAGAAAATTTTTGGATAAGTTAATTCCGGAAGAGTAGATTATTTGCTTATCTAATTTAATGAGTGAAATGTTTGGTGTCAGCTTTTCATTCACGCTTAGTCAATTAGATTATCTATCTCATTCATCTTTTGCTTTGACATCACGGATACGTAGCTTTATATGTCTCGCTAATCAACAAAATATTTGTATCATTCATGATTTTCATTCGTCAGTTATCTCACTTACAAAAAACCTCTCGGATTTCTTCTAGTTCCCCGTAATCTCACACACAATCAAGATGGATAATGCTCTCGTCATTCTTGTTAATCTTGTAATCGCTATCTTCATACTTATCGTTCTCTTATGTTGTGTTTATTCCATTCCACTTATATTCATCAGCCATTTCCATAATCGTTACAATATATTTACACTCAACATCTCCTTGATACTCATGTGCTTGTCTATCTATTGGATTGTTGTCTTTACTTTACAGCAATTCGACTTTACAGTATTGGAAAATGACATTGCATGTGCTATCCTAGAGTTTGGTACAATGTTGTGGAATAGCCAATTTACATTGTCCTTGATTGTTGTTTCTATCAATCGATGTTGTGCTATAATATATGGAAGAAAACCATTTTTCAAGACAAAGAAATGGATAGTTATATCTATTTTGGGTCAATGGATAATTGGTTGTATACTATGTATACCAACTATTACAACTGTAGGGCCGGTAAGAATTATTTTTGAGTGATAGTTAATTATTAGAAGTCCAACGTGATGATCAAACGTCATATGATCATATTATGTCATTGAGAATATCATTAAAGTTAAGTATGATGGGCCAATGTATTTATCGAGAGACACATAACAGACAGAATAATTGTGTGAAAAAGATCTTTCTGATGTCTAAAGATGCTCTTAATTAAGTTTATCTGTCTCTTTGTGTTTCGGATACACAATACAGAAAAGAATTTTTCGAACGATTGTTTCGCTTACAACTCTGTTAGAAAGCTATCTTTTGGATTGCGGTGTATATCAATAGAATAAGCCATATCTATATTATATCCACAGAAAAAATAATTATATCTAAATAATGAGTTATAGTTATGATGAATTAGCAATTATGTAAAGCTTAATGATGAAGATACTACACTTTACATCGAAAAAAACGTTCAAACATCTACTCATTCATTACGCATAGAAGTACATATTAGAAAATTGACGCGCAGTCAATCAGATCTCATTTAGAAAGATAAAAAGAACTGAATTGTCATTCATCAGCTATCAGTAATATTTTTTCAAGGTCATTAGAGTCTTGCACAAACTAGCTGAAGATGAAAGTCTTTTTAATAATCTCCTCCGATTCATTGTCCCTCAATAGTCGATTGTATATTCTATCGTACTATCCACCAGTTTATATTGACATATAAATTTATTGAAAATGACTAGGTTATCAACTTTATCGTTAGGTAGAATAGTGATTGCTAATAATGTTTGCTAATGATAAAGATGAAAATAAATATAATTTTTTGATCTATTTGAAGTATTGTACACGACAACCATGGGTGAATATCTATGCGCTATTCATTGTTGTTGTTTTTCCTGCATTAGTCTCTCTCGTCGTCAACATGCGCATATTTATTTATGCTCGTTCTTCATTTAATCAAGTTCAACCCCAAGGTCAAACAGCTGGAACACAAACATCTGGTGGCAATCTTCACAATCAGCGGTTGAGTCGCCGTGATACTCATCTACTGCGACATATTGTCTTCATGTTCTGCATATTCTTTGGAGGTTGGAGTCCAGTCTACATATATTTCAGTATTCCGTGGTACTTCAGTATCGGGCCAGTGACGTATTTGTCTCTCGTAGGTGTGGGACAGGTAAGTCTTCTATGTGAAATCGTCAATTTATTTGTGTACAATAAAGAATTAACACAGTATTTAAAACTCAAAATTCAACGATTTGGTCAAATATTACATTGCGTTTCATAAACTCGACACACTGTGTAACTGATTTTTTCGATTATGGGGTTTTATCGTGTCTTCGCTTTAATTAAAACTTTGGTCAGCTGACTATCTTCCTCTCTTCTTGTACTTACGTACTGTTCCTCAAACATTGCACTTCAATAGATGTTATACTTGTTGCTCTGTTTACTCTTCTATATATTGAGATGAAAATAAATGTAAAGAAACAATTGAAATTATCATGATTTTCTTCATAATATATCAATATTCTGATTCGATCGTTTATGTTTTACATCTTTGAGCTGATTGATGGCATTCGAAACGATGAAGCAAATCTGAACAGAGTACATTTTCTTTCTAACAGTGTACCACATCAGTTAATATTGATCAATTATAGTATTTAATTTTCTGTCTATCTATTGGAAGCATATTGATTCCAGCATTGAAAAATTCTTCCGTGATCTTGAATATAGCAACATTTTGATTGAAATTTTAAATTTGCTTCAAAGGTATAACTGAATATTGATTTGACAGAGTGAGAAACTACGTTTTCGTTCAAGTCGAACTATGGAAAGAAGCTGTCCGACATTTGTTTCTACTGTACTGATCCTATCGAAATACAGAATTTTCAGACGAATCGTTGTCAAAACTCGGAGACTAATATATTTAAACGGACATAGTCGTTCCTTTTCTTTTAAATAGTAAAAACTCAACCCGCCAAAAAGATCAGTTCACATAAAGAAATTTAAATATTAAGATAGTCATGATATTGGCTTACATGCATTATAATATAAGCATTTGAAAATTTATTACCATAAGTAAATGTTCCGATGAAGGATCAACTAGTACTTAATGCGAATCAAAATAAGTTTTAATGCTTATTTTCCCTTATGAACAAGTAACCTATGTGTATTCAAAAGCTTTTACGATGATTGAATATGAAAGCGTCGGAGGTGGATGTAGATGTAACGTATGGATGTTCTTATTTGTTTCGCCGAAAGTCACATCCAAACCTATACCCTCTCTTACAGTGTACCACAAGTAATTATTACTTTAAAAAATAGTTTATCGAACTAAAACAATGAATTTATCGAATATCGCAAACATCTCCATTTTGGCTAAAGTAGATTTAGCTTCGCAAATTCTGTAACAAGTGCTAATAAATCTTTTGCTTGGCAGCAATTATTTGCAGTTCTAAAAGCTTTCATAGTTAGTTATTTCAGTGAGTTTCATACCTGTCAAATTCTTGAATTCTATGATGAATACAACGAAATGACTAATGAAGGAGAAAGTAATGATGAAATCCAAGACACGTTCTAAGAATACAACTATTTGATATTCCAGGTCAATACAAAAGAATATTGCAAAACGATGATTTGTTGATTGTTGATAAGATGATTACAAGACGACAACGAATGCTTTTATTTGTCTCATATGAACAATTAAAAATGCTCTTTAAAATAGAAATTATATTCATGGATAGAACATTCTCGACTTGTCAAAACATTTTTGATCAAATATGAGCAGGATAGGTAATTAGTTTTGCTCGTAATTATCTATATGAGTCTAATTATTTTTTTGTTTAGCGTTTCCCTGTGATTTTAGCTTGTTATCAAGTAGATGCAAAAGTACATAGCAGTTTTTGGTCACTGAGTTAAAGTCAATAGCTGTGCAAATAAAATTTGACTGTGCATCGAAAATCATTATGACTGATTTTGAACCAGTTTGAATGGATGTCATTGAAGCTAAACTAGGCTTTTTCTATATTTGTTTTGGGTTGGGCATATGTTTGGGCTTTTTTTATCTTATAATTTAATACATTAATGCATGCATCTTGCTACTAGTACTTCACTCAAGCGATGTATCGTAAAATATAGCGACTTGGATTATCTTTAACTTACAAGAACAACGATAATATTACAAATTCATGTTGACAGTTAATGGCTTTCCTATTATTATAAGAAACTATTATTGCAGACACCT